ATCCTTATTATTATTAAAGATTAAAGTGTTTTCTTGTAGTTCAGTGTGGACTGTTGTTAATGACGAAGTCAAACAAACTTTTGACTCTAATAAACTGATCTCTATTTATTTATGTATGTCCTTAATCTTACCATAATCATGTTACGGGGGAAACTGTCAAAATATCCCAGTTACACTAAGTGCACTGACCAATGTTCAAGAAGAAATCCAAGACACACGAACCGAAACATCTGTTTTAGCATTTGCTAAACATCAGGTTAGTCAAACTGTGCTTATTTAGATAGATAACAGCACCTGGTGGCGTCATGGGGAAACAGAAAGGGACAACAACGAAAGGTAAGGCAGCATAAGTCCAAGTGAGGGGGGTAGATGGGTCCAACAACCACTAGCTTATTCTTACCATGAATATTATTGGTAGTAGTTGTATTAGTAATATCGCAATAACATGACATCGAGTACAACAATTAAAACTCAATTAATGTGTTTATAATGTATTAAAAACAAGTGCTGTGCTCTGAATAAATAAAGTCTCTGCACTGTAAATTAGAAAACAGTTGTAGGGCAGGTGATGTTTCTTTATGCAGAATTGATTTCTGGTCTAAAAGTCAGTTAAGAGGCTTCATCAAAGGGGTTTGGTGAGCGTGGGTCATTTTTGACACTGAGAACAGGAGGAGCATAAAGAAAATAGAGACATCAGTGGGGTTCAGTTAGTGTTAGTGAGGTTTAGTGTCGTCCACTGTTCTCTTTGCTGATACTGTTTTACATCACTGTCTTTGTTGTTGAGTTGACTGTTGTTGATCCAGAATCCTTCACAGCTGTGATTCAGTGTAGTCACGTCTTGACATCCTTTGTTATTGATAAAAGAGTCTCACCATGAATCTGAGTATGTGAGCATCCTGTAAGTGAGATTAAGATTTAATATTTGAGTGATTTTGTTCAGTGCAGTCACTGACTTCACAGTTTGGTCACTTTTTGTCTATGCTAAGCAATCACATCTCAGTTTAAATGTCCTTTAGTATGTACACTTGTTTTATCAGGTATCACACAATGACTGTTTCTGTGGTTTATATATCCTATAATAAGCGTAGTGGAGGTTGTTAGCTGTGACTCAACACTATAGCTCAACTTCAACAACAGGTACACCTGTTGAAAAGCTGATTTCAGGCACACTGGGTCAATGAAAAAGTCCAGCTGCAAAAGGTAAACTTGAAATAAAACAGCAGTCTGACGGCAAATTGTCTTAGCTTCTATACTCACTGCGACTCCTGGTGGACAGATGAAGAACTGCAGCTGGTTTCCACACATGATGCTAAGGGGCCTTACAGGACTTTAAATATTTACATACCTACACATCTGTAGAAACTTACACTTATATTTATGCAACTAGCTATCAAGTGTACTCAGAGTGATGATAGATAGATAGATAGATAGATAGAGTACAAGTGTACAAGTCTATCTATCGTAGTAAAGTAGTCAAATCTTTTTCTACAACAGAGTAGAATAATTTGACAGGTATAAAGACTTAAATTATTTACAAGGTTGCTCGTCTAGAGATTATTAGTCCAGTCAAAAGAACACAGAGTTGGCACTATTTTACTCATCAATACAGCGAAGAAAACTCCAACTCTGAAACAAAAGTTTATCACTTAAACTGATTACAACCTATTTTAAAAAATCAGACATCAGTACCAACGGTAAATCACTGAAATGTTTGCTGAGGTAAATCTGCTCTGACTAGGATAAACTAGAAGGACTAGTAGGTCCTTACATTTCCTAAAACACTGAAGCTAATTTTCAAGTCGTCATTATTTTGATAAATTAACAACGTATTTGAAATATAAACTGTTCAGTTCTCTCTAAAAATACAATTCTCAACACTAAATCTGGTGACAACAACAACAGTGCAAAAATATTTACTTACATGTGAGTTTGGTTCATGTCCTCCATCACTGCTGCTGGTTGAAATAAAATGCATGCTGGGATACTTGTGTACCGCAAGTTCACACGTGTCACCTCCAAAAGCATCCTTGATGAAATGGACGAACAAGACGGGTGGGTATTTGTACCATACTTTGATAAATGCAAATTTTAAATTTAGGACAGTACTTCAGCCGTGATGTTTCACAAGTCCACCAAAGCAGAAATTCAGAGAGGCCTCAGATCTCTGGGAGAGCCTCTGATGTCATTAGGATCTGTTGTTTAGGAGCATTACAACACTCCAGTTGAAGATAAGACAAAGATAATATAAGACAGTTTAATTTATGGATAATGAAAGAAGAAGGGCACACAGATCTTACCTCTACATGACTACATATACACAAACTAACAAAAATCATATTCACTTTCATTTTTTAATGATTGTTGAAGACCAGTGGAGAAGCTTTAATATGCAGCCCTCCATTCTGTGAGGACCTGTGTTTCCTCAGATGACCCTCCACTTAACATTTAAATGTTATTTTGCCTGAACACAGTTAATATGCACTATAATAAGCCATGAAAAGATATCATGGAATCAATTACAGTGATTAACACATATTCTAGTCAGAAACAGAGGCAGCACAGTTGTTGACTTTCCAAAACAAAAATCTCCGGTTCTGACACTAAAGTTTATCTTCTGAATCAAATCACATCTGATACTTAAAACATCACGGAGACATCAGAACCACTGGTCAATTAACAAAGTGTTTGCTGAGGTAAATCTGCTCTGACTGAGATGACCTAGAAGGAGCAGCAGGTCCTTGCATCTCCAAATACATTAAGCTAAATTTTTAAGTAGACATTATTTGAATTAATCGATGACAGACCTGAAATATAAACGGTTACTTTCCTGCTTAAACTTGAAATTACAAAAACTAAATCTGGTGACAACAGTTGTAGTACAAAAATAATAACTTACATGTGAGTTTGGTTCATGTCCTCCATCACTGCTGCTGGTTGAAATGAAATGCATGCTGGGATACTTGTGTACCACGAGTTCACACAGGTCACCTCCAAAAGCATCCTTGATGAAATGGACGAACAAGACGGGCGTGTATTTGTACCATACTTAGATAAATGCAAATGTTAAATTTAGGACAGTACTTCAGCCGTGACGTTTCACAAGTCCACCAAAGCAGAAATTCAGAGAGGCTTCAGATCTCTGGGAGAGCCTCTGATGTCATTAGGATCTGTTGTTTAGCAGCGTTGTGATTTCCCATCACTCCAGTTTAAGACCAGACAGTTAAAGATAATATATCACAGTTTATTAAATGGATAATTAAGGAAAGAGGATGCACAGATCTTACCTCTACTGGACTCCACATACACAAACTAACACACTAAATGTTAAATGTTATTTGAACTGAACATAGTGAACATGCTCTATAATAAACCAAGATAAAATACTGTGGAATCAGTTATGATGATAAACACATATTACAGTCTAAAGAACACAGAGGCAGCGCTACTTCATCGTCACTTTAAAGCATCAAAATGTTTCTGTCAGGTTGGAGCATCAACTACAGGGTTTAGTTTAGTTGTTTGTAGTTGGCCAGTCATTTCTCTGCTTTCATTAAATCTGTATTAATGTGTAGAATTGTCACAAACATTTATAGAATATTTAAAAGACAAAAACATGTCAATAAAGTGATGTAAAGTTGATATTAAAAAGGGTGGGACTCAGAGGCAGGTGTCTACTTTGTCTCTGGATCCTGTCAACACCACCTCACCTCCTCCTTCCGTCATCGGTGAGCCCCCCTCCGGACTGAAGGTGAGTCCCACTCCGCCTCCATCTGCAGCTCCATCCGTTTATTTCTCCTCCTTCACCGGACACACAAACCGGGATCTGCTAACAACAGCATCATGTCAGGTCTCTCAGAGTCAGTAACATCCGTAAAATCCGTTACAGCGGGACATCAGACTGGCTCCGAATGTTAGCAGGTGAAATAAATGACACTATATACCTGGTTACAACTGAATATGGTCTCTCACAGCCACCTCCGTTTGACACCAAGCTCCAAAACATATTGAAGCTAACTGCTGCTCAGCAAGCTAACGTTACACCACTGATTTCTCATCAAGCTACTTAACGTTACTTTAAGTCACTGATATTGTGCTCAACAAATCACTGTACAACAAATGACCACTGATATGGTGACACAATCATTCACAACAATACCCGGAAGTCCCTTGAACAGAAAACAAGTTAGTCCAAAGCTTCACAGACACAAAAATGAACGTATATTGTCGTTGTTTAACTGAGTTTGTAACAGACAGCTGAAACACAAACAGCTTTACAGCAGCACACTGGAAACCACATGTGGGTTCAACAACTCCAGTTTGCAGGGGCTCCACAAGATGGCGCCGCTGCCACAAAAATCAAACCTGATGGAAACAAAGCTCAGTGGGAAAAGTAACGTTACAGCCTGCGTTACATTACCAACAGGATAAAGTAGTTCATAGCATGATGGGGAAATATAACAGTGATTAATAAAGTATGACATTAACAGCAGTAACAGTCACAGGACTCTTTTAACCTGCTGCATATTTAATATTGTTGTATTGTGTGGGATACTGTTTCACTGTTTCATCCAGCAGGTGGCGCTCTGACATTAACGACTGACATCAAGTCTGTTTCCAAAAGAACTTGTGCAGAACCGTCTGTAACTTTATTAATGATCATTTACACTTTTCCATCTTATTTTCTGTTCATAATTTTAATGCATTTGTAACTTAAAAACTAAAATGACTAAAAGTGGTTTACATGAAATGTAATATTGGATAATGATGTTTAAACCAACCGCTCTACATTTCACCACAGTAGGTTTAGATCATGTGTTTATGATAATTATGACTTAAATCAGAGATAATAATAACGATTTGTAAATGAGTCACTCAAACATGTTGCTCCTGAACTTCAGCTACACCTCCAGTGTTTGTAGCTTTAACACTGGGTGGGGCATCTTCTATGTTTACCTTTACTTGTTACATTATTTACTTTCACTTTCATCACTGAGTGTGTCGCAGCAAGAATTGCAGCGGGTGAGTGAACTGATCAAAACTAGATAAAGAAAAATAACTAAAGTAAAGTCAGTCTATCAGAGCTGCTGATGGATCAATTGAGCTGATAATAGAACAATAACAGATCTGTGTGGGATCAAAGTAGGTGGACTGTACTAACACCTCACAGCCAGCATGTATAAAGCTGTGTAGGGAGTCTGCTGAGAAGCTGAAACAGAAAACGCTCATCCATCAGTCTGCAAGAAAATATTTGATTTTCTGTGTTTCTGTCTGAACTGAGAGCTCCTGATATGTTTCATCTCTTAAATTCATCTGAAATGAGATGTACTGAGACGACTGTGACAAATGCTGATGTGAATATTCAGACGGAAGTGAACTGTCGAGACGCCACGTCAGAGAACATGAGAGGAGGAGTCAGAGCTGATCGGACATGTTGCTCTACTGTAACTATGCAGCAGTATGAAAGACTGTCTGAACTTGATTTCAGTGTTTCAGCTTCATCACAAAGACATGTTTACTGTCAGTTTTTAAGTATTTTGAGATTTGCAAAACATTCTTTGTAATTAATTAATGATTAGAAACTAATCACCTTTATTGGCCAAGTATGTTTGGACACAAGGAGTTTCAGGTTTCCAGTGGCTCTCAGTGTAGTTTCATACAAATATACAGGAAGATGAAAGATATAGAAAATATGCAGCTAAAACAAGGAACTAATAGAGATAAACATGAACAACAATGGACAATAACAAACATGTATTTACAGGTCAGGGAAGGAAAGCTTAATGGATGTGACTTCAAACTGTAGAGAGAAGAGCTGTTGAAGTGACACAAACACTCTGAGTGTGTACTCTGATAGTGGTGCTACAGAGTGGAGCTCCTCCCCTCTCTGATGCTGTTTGGTTGAGTTCAGACACACTGAAAAGGTTCATTTGGTTCTGTCAGTTACTCACAGAATAAACATTAACTGGTGACTGGCTGAGTTGACCTGCCCTCAGTCATTTTAACTGTTGAAAGTCACGGTGCCATCTACCTGCCACCTGACTGTTTTCTCTGATTATAAGAATGAGATAAAAGACTAACACATACTTTCTTAATTACATTCTTGTGGCAACACAATTGTTGACTGGATTTTGTTCAAAGACTACGTAATGAAACACTACATTCATGTAACACGTATAAACTTAGGAAGAAAGCGGTTGGAGGATGGCGGGGGAGAACGAGCAGAACCTTGAAACAAGGACTTAGGGTTCGTGTGCAGATTTCTGCCTTAGGTTTAGACAACAAATGCACTTAGGTTAAGGTAAGGGAAAGATCATGATTTCCAATAAAAAAAGGTAATTAAATAATAATACTGCCGTCACTCTGACTTTGCCAGAACACAACTGAAATATGTTGTCAGTGAATATTTTGCACATTTTACCAACATACAACATATGTGAAACACCTTGTTTTTATCTTTATTTCCTTATGTAACAAAAGTATGTGGTTAGGTTTTAAAGCAACATCACAGTTCGGCTCAACAGTCACACAGGAAGCAAACAGTGGGCTCCTATGTGAAAGCATAAACTGATGTTGCCTGGAGGCCGTGAAAGACACCTTTTTGCATCAGTGATTAACACCAGAATCACTGACATAGTGGTGGTATTTGACGAGTTGGGGATGAAAATGGACGTCATCTGATATGAAGAACCTCCTGAAAGTCATTACAAGCAATCACTTGACTTTGAGATCTCGTGGTAAAACAGTTCAGCTTTGGAGCAATATTTAGCCTCTTTCTCAGAAAGCTAGCATGACATGTCTGGTAGCAATGGATTCACAACAATCTCAAAATTCATATGAAACCACTGGCTTAAAAATCAGAGCCTTCAAAAGACAGCAACGTTAATGCCAGATGCTCCATCACTGTTTTAGAGGATTAACATTAGACCAACTTCATAAACCATGAAGAAGGAGAAGAAGAATTCTCGTGTAAGATTATGGTGACCAATGAAGCAGAATCTGATTAAAATTTCACCTGTGGGTTAATTTTTTACTTTTAATGGTTGAATTATGTTGGAAATAGGCCTGCTACTCGGCTGCAGTCTTTTTTTTAGCATATTCAAAAAAATATTTAAAAGATCTGTATCAGCTTGTCTTTTTTTTTTTTTTAACGTGTTACTGGTGCATCCTGGTCATATTAAATTTATTTCATTCTAAAAACAAGATCTGATCTTAAATAAACATCTTGGTAACACTTTCTATGAAAACCACGTCTATAATGCAGGCATTTATAGTGAATTAAAATGTATCTACAATGCTCTATGACTGCACTCACAAACACACGTAATGCTTCCTGATGCACTGTATCAACAGTCATAAAAGATTACAGATGTGACTTATAATGATGATAAGTGTCTTATGGATGTTCTTGACTAGTTATAAACTAGAAGTTGACTGATGGGGCTTATGATGCATTATGAATACCTAAACTCACCTATACACACACATCAACAATCAACTGTAGTAAGGACTTGGTGTGTTATAAGAGTCCATGCAGTATCATAAGTTATCATTGCATGTCTTACATAAAGTGATATTATACTAAGTAAAGATGTAATGGTATGAAAATTTCATATCACGGTTATTGTGACCAAAATTATCACGGTTATCATTATTATCGCGGTATTGTTGAAATGTGTTCAAAATGTTCAAAAAGTCCTTTTACACACACTGAAATCATTTAACCAAGTTTTATTTCGAAAAATAAATGAAATAAAGAACACAATGTACGTTCTGTCTGACAGAAAGTCTAGCATGTTTGATTTTCTTTTTGTCAGTCACGATTACTCCCATCACAGCCGTCACTTTGACCAATAGAAACATAGAGTTAGCTGCTGCCATAGACAACTGTACGGCAACAACACCCCAGCCTTTTAGATATTTACTCTAGGGATGTTACCACACAGAGTAAAAGGAAACAGCAGAGGCACTTTGTCAACCCGCTGAGTACTTTCATTAGCATCAAGCTAGCAAATAATGTTATTTATATTATAATGGAGACGGACAAAAATTAATAACATTAACAAATAGCGGCAGGGCTTTTACTCACCACAACTGCAGAGGCTCCCAGCTTCATGTGAAACAGACTAGATTATAGACGGGCCGTTATGTATTAATCCCTCTGTCTCTTTATATTTTTACTTTTTATCCACTCCCGTTGCCTTGATAAAGTTAACACATTGCGCCGTCATTTCAAACTCAACACTTCCTGAACTTGTTTCAAATTAAAAGCCCCTTATAACCTCGGCTGAGAGAACCCCTCCATTTTCTAAATAGGCTTTTATTGTGAAACATTTGTAGGAACTTGTTGTGAAGGATTCAGTGACTTGTTTGTGTACGGTACTTCAAATATAGCTCCTGCCATCTGCTGGCGCTTTTTAGGTGACTACAACAACATGTCGACTGGCACATGAACAGACACAGTGACTGAAATAATAGTAAAAGTAAATCAAGATGGCGCCCCCAGTGCGGACGCCTGTTACAACAGCTCCTGCTCACCTCTGAGCTTTTTTCAATTTCTATTTCATTTAACTTTCTTATTTGGATTTTTTTTCAGTTAGCTAGCTAGCACTTATGTTCTGTTTTGTTATGGGGGCGAAGACCGCTCTCTGTATAGCGGTCTTTCTCCAATTTTGCTGTGGATACGATCGTGTGCGAGGATCCGGCGCCCAGCCGTGCCTCCATTGTTTACACCCGGGACCAGCTGTTAGCGCTGCGTCACACCGTGGTGCTGCCCGAGGAGAGGCACGACATTCCCGGCAAGCTGCTGAGAAGGAGACGGGGATGTCGCGCCGGAGTGCAGCGCCGACAACGGACTCGGAGGAGACGGTACAAACCCGTCCTCCCGTCCGTCGTTATGGGGAACGTAAGATCGCTCCCCAACAAGATGGACGAGCTGTCGGCGCTGACTCGCCATCAGAGGGAGTACTGGCAGAGCAGCGTGCTGGTGTTTACCGAGACATGGCTGAACACGGAAGTACCGGACACGATCGCAGCGCTGGACGGATTCCAGCTCATCAGACACGACAGGACAGCGGACAGCGGTAAGAAGAAAGGAGGGGGGCTGTGGCTGTGTTTGTGAATGATAGATGGTGTAACTCTGGGCACATCACTATCAAGGAACAGCATTGCTGCGGGGACATTGAGCTGCTGGCTGTTGGCATGAGACCATATTATCTACCCAGGGAGTTTTCTTATGTCATTATGGTAGCAGTCTATGTCCCCCCATCTGCAAAGGCTGAGTCTGCTTGTGACATTCTCCACTCTGTTACAAGTAGGCTGCAAACACAGCACCCTCAGGCCCTCCTTCTGATCTCTGGGGACTTCAACCACGCCTGTCCATCCACCACCCTGCCCACCTTCACCCAGTATGTTTCCTGCCACACCAGAGACAATAAAACACTGGATTTATTTTATGCCAACACCAAGGAGGCATACCACTCATCCCCCCTGCCCCCCCCGGGAAGAGCTGATCACAACCTGGTTCATCTTCTGCCTGTCTACAAACCTCTGGTGCAGAGAGAACCAGCAACCACCCGCTGTGAAAAGATGGTCTGAGGAGGCCGAGGAGGCCCTGAAAGACTGCTTCGAGGCCACTGTGTGGGAGGTACTCAGCAATTCCCATGGCGAGGACATTGACAGTATGACATCATGCATTACGGACTACATAAACTTCTGTGTGGAAAGCACCGTACCCACCAGGACTGTACGCTGCTTCTCCAACACCAAACCCTGGATTACTCCAGAGTTAAAAGCTCTCCTGAAGGAGAAGCAGAGAGCTTTTAACTCTGGAAATAAGGAGGAGCTAATGGCCGTGCAGAAGGAGCTATGGAGAAACATCAGGTGGGGAAAGGAAGGATACAAAAAGAAGATGGAGGAACAGCTGCAGCAGAGTGACGTCAGCGGAGTCTGGAGAGGTCTGAAAACCATCTCAGGACACAAACAACCAGACTTCCAGTCCAGAGGTGACCAGCAGTGGGTGAATGATCTGAATCTATTCTTCAATAGATTTGATCAGTCTGCCCCTCCCCTGGCCCAGACATCACGGCTGCAACCCCCCTCATCCTCACCTTCACCTTCCCGCCCACCTACACTCCTGGCACACTGCTTCGACACCTACCCCACCCCCGCTCCCCCGGACACCTCACCACCCCCAACTCCTCCCCCCACCTCATCACCTCCACCCTCCAGCACACAGCCCCCCTGCTCCAGCCTGTCCTTCACTACCTGTCAGGTGAGAGATCAGCTGAGGAGGATAAAGACGAGGAAGGCTGCAGGTCCAGATGGCATCAGCTCCAGGCTCCTGAAGTCCTGCGCAGACCAACTGTGCGGGATAGTTGAAACCATCTTCAACCTGAGCCTGAGGCTGGGGAGAGTACCACAGCTACGGAAGACATCCTGCGTGGTACCTGTGCCCAAGACTCCGCATTCCAAGGACTTCAGCAGCTTCAGACCGGTGGCATTAACATCACATCTCATGAAGACTCTGGAGCGCCTGGTCCTGTCTCGTCTCCGCCCCGCAGTAGGCCCGTCAATGGACCCGCTGCAGTTTGCCTACCAGCCTGGCACTGGGGTGGATGACGCCATCATCTTCCTCCTGCATAGAGCTCTTTCTCACCTGGAGAAGCTCTGAAGCTCTGTGAGAATCATGTTCTTTGATTTCTCCAGCGCTTTCAACACCATACAGCCTGCGCTTCTGAGGGACAAACTGGAGCACATAGGGGTGGCTATTCACCTCACATCCTGGATCCTGGACTACCTCACGGACCGGCCATAGTATGTCAGGACCCAGGATTGTGTATCGGACTTGGTTGTCTGCAGTACAGGGGCCCCACAGGGGACGGTGCTGGCACCGTTCCTCTTCACCCTCTACACTGCAGACTTTTCATACGACACCCCCACCTGTCATCTGCAGAAGTTCTCTGACGACTCTGCCATAGTCGGCCTCATCACAGATGGGGATGACAGGGAGTACAGAGAACTCGACCAGGACTTTGTGGACTGGTGCCTGAGGAACCACCTTCAGATCAACACGGGGAAAACCAAAGAGCTGATGGTGGATTTCCGCAGGCGCAGACTCCTCCTCCCAACACCAGTGAACATCAAGGGAAAGGACACTGAGATGGTGACCTTCTTTGACACTGTGGTGGCATCAGCCATCTTTTACGGAGTAGTCTGCTGGGGCAGCAGTGTCTCGGCTGCAGATAGGAAGAGACTGGACAAGCTGATCAAGAAGGCCAGCTCTGTCCAGGGATGCTCTCTGGACTCTGTGCAGGTGGTGGGAGAAAGGAGGACTAATGACTCCCATCCTCTGCAGGAGGAGATAAAAGCTCTGGAGAGCTCCTTCAGCGATAGACTGATTCACCCAAAGTGTGTGAAGGAACGCTATCGCAGGTCCTTCCTGCCTGCTGTCAGGCTACATAACCAGCACTGCTCACAGTAAACTGCACCATGGACACTTTATTGACACTATGGACACTTTATGGACACCACAGCAATCTGCTGTTTTTGCACATACAATCACTTGCACTTTATCCACTGGCCATTTTCATTCACTGCTGCTCCTTATTATCCACTTCCCATTATTATTTTTATTGTTATTGTTATTATTATTTATCGCCGTCTCTTGTATTTTTGTACTTATTTGCATGCCTAGTTATTTAAGTTTTTAAGTTTAAATTTGAAATCTTTAATCTGACTCTTTCCTCTTGACTGCTGTAACACTGGAATTTCTCAATTATGGGATCAGTAAAGGTGTATCTTATCTTATCTTAATAAAAATAGGAATAGGACAAGAATAACCCAATGACATCACACACGTAGTGAAATACGACCAGGGATAATTGGTGAGTACCATCGTATAGTGTGTCATGTCGGCCAAGTCATGGCACGATTTTTATGACTCCACAATCGTGTAATTTGACATAGTGACTTTCAGAATGGGCTGAAAAGTCGTGTAGTGTGAACCAGGCACAGGTACACTTGCTGTATAGTTGTGGGTGGTGGTCACAGAGATGGCTCATCAAATTTGAAGTGTTACCTTACTTTGCAGAGACTTTTTTCTGCATTTTCTGCAGACAGGGTGACTATCTTCAATTAGTTTCCCCTCAGCATCCTTGTAAAACCCAAAATACGTCCTTTGTCCTTTTAGAGGGGCAAAAAATCTCCGGAGCACTGTCAGTGCGGGTGCCTTCGGTGCCTTCCGCCATGTTTTCAGAGGCCAAACATTGCAAACTGCACATGCGCGCCTGGGTCTGAGGTACTGCTGCAGCTTTTCCAGGCAATGAGCAATATCACTGAGAGTTTTTCAAAGTGCGGTAATCAAACACGGTTTTAATGATAATTAAAATTTGAAACGGTAATACTAACCATTGGGAATTTTACCGCGGTTTATCATTTTATTGATAGTGTTACATCCCTTATACAAAGTAAAGTGTGATGCATTTACATGTATTTAAGAGAATCTATGATGCATCATATGTGATTAATGTCGATCATACACTGGAATACTTACAAAAAGACTAAAGTCTGACACCTTCTCACTTCTAAAGACAATATGTCATGAGTCAGTAAGTTTTTAGTCACAGAATGAGATTTTGTAAAGACTGGGGATATTGCAGAGTCAATATTTGCAAGTTTGTTAGCTTCAACAAGGAAATAAGTGGTCAGAAATTGTTGCAGCCTATCTAACAAAGGTAAGGGCACACAATTTGGCTCCATTACAACTCACAACATTCACCGACACACTAAACACGTTTTCCAAACAAATACAACATGCTAACGTTATTAGCGCCAGCCTATGGCATTTTACATGGTATACATTAGCCTAGCAACGAGCGGAGATTTCCTCTGCTCATATGAAGCCAGGATAAATCCCGAAGAATAAATCCCTTAAGGATAAATCACACACAAGACTTAAAATTCTATTTTAGTGGAGGCTTTACTGTCTTCACAATTTATTGTTTCTTATCTGTGAAATTAAAGTAAATACAAGCTTCGTTTCCATTGAGAGAAATGGTGTCAGCTTACAGAAACAGACAGGAGGTCTGCGTCACTGCTACGCTGAGCGTGAGGGTGGGCGAGTTCAACTTTTTGTCAACAATGGGGGTGTTCTGAAAACACCCCCATTTTCACAGATAACTTAGCCTGTCCCCCCACCGCAGGAAATAATGGATTAATCCTGGAAAGCTGTTGATGTAGCACTTTTCTCCTTAAGAAAGTAACACAGCGATTATTCGACCAATGAGAATTCGGTCGGACGAGAACGTATCAACCAAATAATCAACTAGTCGACCAGGAGACTACAGCCCTAGTGGTAATGGGTCCAATTAGTATGAATATTATTTAAAAAGTTGAATAATACCCACAGAATATAGACAGTTAACTTCACAGAGACTGAGCTGAGGCTCACCTTCCAAGTTTAAGCTTTCCAGTCAAAACATACCTTGTCTTGTTTTGACAAAATATTGTGAGAAAGAGGACACCCTGGTGAACACTGTGTGGGAAATTTGTCTCTGTAGTGTAAAAAAAGTGAGCATGGTGGCAAGTTAGAAAACTGATATGATCTGCTGTCCTCCAGAGATTTCTGGTCTCTCTTAACATGGAGTTCAATGCGTCAATTGGTGGAGTTTCTCTGACTTTCTGGCTCACTGTGCCAAATGTGTAGGTCTGATTGTTTCCAAAGTGACACTGATGAAAAGAGGACAAGTTTTATTCCATTTTTACCAACAAATATGTATGTAGTGTAAAAACTGTGGCCACGGCAGCTTGTTAAAGAGAAATGTTTCAGAAGCCCTCTGCAATCTGACAGCTGAGTCCACCACACAAGCCCTGAAACATTCTGTCCCATAGAGACTCATTATAAAACCTGAGGAGGACATTTTCACCATGCTCTGATTAAGTTTTAATATTTCAAAATGTTTGAATGGGATTTACAAATTGAATGGAAGTAAGAATGTATAAAAGATGATGAACATTTTAAATTTTGAATGGAGTTTCTACATGTATGTATGAATGAGGAGATAAGCTCTGAAAATGCTTGAAAAAGCATGAATTTGTGTCGGGTTTGAAGAGTCCTCCCATCTGCCTGAATGGGGAAAAATTCTAAAAATATTATGTTATGAATGAGAAAAATACAAGCAGGTGATTCCTAATTGAGCTGAAAATTTTGATGTTTGAATGAAGTTTTTGTGTTGAAAAATGTGGAAGGAGTAGCGCGGCAAAAAGGTAAGCAGAAAATTAATAATTATAAAGAATTCCAAAACTGTAGAATAACAAAGGCTGTGAATGCTGTAAGCATTCTCACCCAATAACTCAGGAATCATCATCAGCCTCTACAGGCAAATACAGCTGAGTATCATCAGCGTAGCCGTCAAAATTCAAATCATAACTGCCTGATTTGATTTCTGACATTTGCGTTCCTTTCTCCTGCAGACCTGCTTAAACTCCAAATTCTTCTACAAACTGGGCATAAGGGCCAGGCGGCCTTTAGAGCACCACAAAGCAGAGCCTGTTGTCCTGGACAAAAACATCCATAGCTGATGAAGATAGGATAGGATAGGAGCCTCAAATAATTGAACTTAATATCAAGTTTGGAGGTTAAATTGGAAACACACAGGTTAAGGCAACACCTTCATCTTGTTTAGTAGCCAGAACAATATGGGCATCAGTATAGTTAGGTGATAAGTCAACATTTAGGACTGCAGACTTCAGCCATGAGTCAATCTGTAGATCTACCATCGGTGGTAAAATGCACTGTTATTACTCATGGTACTTTCTGGTGTGAATCAGTAGGATAATTAAATGTTTTTTTCTTCCTTTAGGTTCTTTAGACGCAGCTGTTGGTCTTCAGCTGAATTAGTGTCTGATGTGTCCAGCACAGTGACATCATGGCGGCAGCAGCATCAGGTGAGTCCAGTCAGACTTTATCAGTCTGGATAAAAGACTGTCGTCTCTCTCTGTCCACATATCACACTGCACTTTGTCCTCAGACCTTAAATCAGGTCTTTGTATCTGGAACTTAACTCAACTGATTGGTCAGTGTCATTTTATTCTACTGCAACACTGAATATGAGAAGCACTATAAACTGTCTTTATAAACTGATGTATAGAACAGACAGTGAGCAGTGAGCTCCACAGCTGGACCACAATCACTGCCCAAACAACGTTACATTATATTTGATCACAACTATGTTTGTTCACAATCACTTGTGCTTCCTAAATGGACACATTAATTCACTTGCCATTACACTGTGATGATTAAGGGTTCCCTTATTGTTTTAGTAATATATATTTATATATGGGGTATATGGCAGAAATAAGGCTATTTGCTGTGCAGTAAAATCATCATTTAATTAGGTTTGTGCAGACTGTATATAGTGGGCCAGTTTTCAGGACATGGTGTTGATTTTTGTTAAATATTGCAGCTCCTTTTTATCTATCAATCTTTTCTTTCACATTCAATTATTAAGGTACAACTCCATCAGCTCCTCTCCTTTCCTCACCAGAGTCCTCTGCACCATCAGATCGGCACATAGACAGAGTCACCAGGGGCCACATGCCTAAAACTCTGTGTAGATTCATGACTTAAACATTGTGTCAGCACAAAGGCAGAAATATGCACATGTATTCCTTCCTTCAATCATTGTGGAGCTGGGTGCATGTGCACAAGCCTCATTTCCACTCCCACAGTTCACCATAAAAGGATGTAGAAATGCTCTTAAACATACATTAGCATGTCCATACCTGTGCCCTGTAACAACTCATTAGACCTGTCAGTGAGAAATATGATAAAGAACGGGCAATTTCACCATCTGTCACACATCTACAAGGATTTACAATGCTGCCAGAGCAGCTGACAATACACACAGCTGCATATATTTGTAGTGTGTATCACCAATTCATCACATTCCTGCAAACCATCATCATGGTAAAATCTCAATCACTGTGAATATTAAACGTCAGAAGAACGATCAATGATTCATTTATAGTGCTCAGGTTCAGACTTTACAAACTGCTTACAGAATAACATTTAACGAACATTAACAGGGAGATGATTGTATTAAAAATAATGATGAAATGTGTCAGTCATGAATTATTTTAAATCAAATGTATAAATGTCTTGTGGATTGATGTTTCACACAACACTATGCAGCCTGCAAAAATAATAACAATCAGTGAAACTGTCAAACAACCTAAGAACAGTGTTATCTGTCTCTCAACTTATATTTCGTCTGCTCCTCATCATCTCATCCTCAGCTATCTCACAACAGCAAACACATCGTTTATGCATCTGGTCCCTGGTTGAATGCTGCAGTCCAGGATTTTACCAAGTGTCAGTAAATCAAAGGATATTACAGTGATATCACGTCAGTACTGATAGTTTTTAACCTCTCGTCCCTCCCAATACGACAGCCTCAGTAATTCATTCAAACATTAAACCCATAGTTAGTAAAATATATATATATATATATATTTATATACGCTTTATGGTGTGTGTGTGTGTGTGTGTGTGTGTGCACGCATCATAACTAGCAACTAGTGTGTGCTGGGGTCTGTTGTGAACACCTTACACCACTGCATGAGCAGGTGTATTTCATACAGTATTATATAAAACATGTATTTCTAAAGGGATTTTAAATATATGTGACTGATGTGTGATTATAGCTGTGATAATAACTGTAATGAAAGATTATTATCACCCATAACTACATGTCTGATCACATTAGAAAGTATCATTCACGTGTATAAATTACATGGCGCATCATCATCATCATCATCATCATCATCACAGGACCAACATGTGTTGTTTTAGACAGATGGAGAGTGTGAACTGTGAAGTGCAGGAAAAATGACGTGCGCTGCTCTTTTACATCACAGCTGCTTGTTGATTGGTGGAGCATCGTGCTGCTGCCAATGTTGGTGTTGTCTCTTTGTTTGGGTCTGTTCGCATCCTCATAATTTTGGATCAGTTTTCCATATCCTCAGGTCCATTCGGACTGTGTCTGACTGAGTGAGGATCAATTTTAGATTTTTTGTTAATGTTGGGTTCTGGTAGGTTTTCCATGTGTCTGTTTCAGATCTGGTCCAGAGTTTTAGAAGACTGTATGAGACATCTGAATGATGACAGTGTTACTGTGTCACAAAGGTGTAATGTAGATTACATGTGATTAAACAAATGCTGTGTCCCTCCAATCACAGATGATCTTCATCCTCTGAAGCGCAGCAGCAGCTATGAGTTGCTGCCACCTCACAGTGAGTCAAACTGAACTGTTATCATGCTGTTTGAATATCTGAGTTTACAGTGTTATGTAGCTAAAATCTATGAGTAACTAAACCCTCAAGTTAAACAGCAATAAAATGATCAATAAACAAATGTAGGTCTGAGTTTATCTGTTTTTCACCTTTTATAAATGTTTGTTTTCCACAGTGTCTGAGCTGAGGGTTGTTCTGCTGGGGAACAGCTGGTCTCAGAGGAGTTCAGTGGGGAACTTCATACTGGGAGAGACTGTGTTCAAAACTGAGGAAGAACCAGACTGCTGTCTGACAGAAAGAGGACAATTAAAGGAGAAAAAGATAGTTCTGATCAACACTCCAGATCTGCTGCATCTCAACATCTCTGAAGACAAACTGTCAGAACATGTAGAAAACTGTGTGAGACTCTCTGTTCCTGGACCTCATGTGTTCCTGCTGGTTCTACAGCCTGAAGACTTCACTGAGTAACACAAACTGAGACTCTGCAGAGTCCTGAAATTCTTCAGTGATCAATCATTTGATCATTCATTGATACTGATATCAACACCCAGAGAGGAGAGTTCAGGTTTCAAAGATGAACCAGACCAGCCCTTAAAAGACATGATCAGAATGTGTAGATACAGATACCTGAAGCAGAAGAACCTTGAACGTCCAGAGCTGTTAACACGATTGGGTCAAACTGCAAAGGAGAACAATGGAGAGCATGTGAGCTGTGATGTGTCTGAGGATGCAGCACCTGTTTTACCAGCTGATCATCAAAGCCTGAAACAAAAAGAGAAACAGACTTCTATCACAGATGCTGTTAAAGCTGCTGGTAAGTTTAGAAACATTTCTGAAGGCAACGAAGACTTTGTTCACACAAATCTTCCATGATTAAATTAGAACATTAAATTAATGATGTTATTGTTTTACAGGACTGCATGTAGTGACAGAAATCAGTCCGCAACTCTCACTCACAGAGAAAACCCCTGGGACTCACAGTAAGTACATTCATCACAGTGTTAATCATGTGTTTGCCAACAGATCTTCGGTGGCATCTTTTCTCTAAGATGAACCCAAACACATCCCACAATTCTTTATCACTGAAAGGCAACAACATAAAATAATAATAATAATAATAATAATAATAATAATAATACTGTATTTGACTACTTTGCATTTGCAAAATACATGACAGGGGAAAACGTGATTCCTCCTTTTCTAAAAAATATTTAATTGTTTAAACTGAATATAGATACAAATTAATTATGGTTAACACATACATTCCCATCCACCACCCTGACCGTCACATTCCCTGCTCTGTTTGGCCAAAACAGTATTTCCTTTAATGATACTGATGGCTGCCATTCAATGATTTCAGTTTAATATTTATGACCACGACTACATCTTTTCAATTCATTTCTAATATGAAAAGCTGTTTATGAACATAATAAGCAGGTTATTCAGTTAGTATTTTAAGTACACATTTGAACTCAGGTTAACAGAATGACACATCTCATTTTAACAAATAGTTAACGCTGTGAGTTGAACCACAACATTAAGCCTGGAGAGGCAACACTGGCTCATAGACAGTACATCTGTGTGTCACTAAACTGTAGGGGAGTAATGATCCATTGATCTGGATCAATATATCGATTCAGTGATCAATGATCCAATATCATCGATACAAAATGAAAACATTGATCCATATCATCATCTTTAGGATACACTTTTATTTTGAAAGTCTGTGTTACTGTCAAACAGCAGCGGCTGAGAGAAAGACGATGAGGATAATGTTATTTACTTGGAATAAATCAGCAGAGTGGAAATATTTTGTTTCAGAGAAAAATAGGGTCAACAGACAGAGCACATGCTGCATGTAAACAATGCTGTTAGAGATAAAACACGACATACCCTCCTGGTCAGGCTTCTCACTCTGGTAAATTCTCACTATAGCTACATCAGCTGTTGTTTCAACAATGTTCAGCTGAAAAAATGCTCATGCAGGCTGAAATTCAAACACGCTGTTCTGTCAGGAGACGCAGAGACTTAAACCAACAGTGAGAAAGAAAAAGTATAGAAAATACATGTAATTTGTTAAGTTATGACTGGAGCTAAGTCTGCTAGCTACAAGGCTAATGTATGCAATGTAAACATGATTGAGCTAATAATGGATGACTAGAAAAAAAACCTGACATGTCTGTGAACCTTGTTAGTTTTTATTGAGCTGAATTTTTTACCTTTGCTCAATGATCTTGCTGTTAATCCATGTTTATTGTCTGTTGGGAGAAGACTGTCTTGAGGGCTTTCAGACAGATAGTCCTCAAGTTTTAGGAATTAGATCATTGTTTGGGTTAAAATGGAAATATTTCTTCTATAAAGGTCTTTCTGGCTGAAAGCCTTGAAGGTTAACTGATCCCAACATTATTTATGTGTTTTTATCTTTCATGGCCAAAAGCAAAACAGAAAGCAGTGTCAGCTTCTTCTGTAACAGACAGTGTTACATGATCAGATCATATCCTCTCATATCGATCGCAGGCCCCTGAATCACATCGAGTCAAAATGGTTTCATGGCAGACTTTTAATATTAGCAAATATCATATTGTTGTCCAAAGAATCAATATGATATCAAGTCTTGATGGAACTGATGACTTACACCCCGACTAAACTGTTTTCCTAATTATGTTGTTGTGGCAACGTAATCGCTGCCTGAATTATGCTGAGAGACAACGTTCCTTTTAGGTTATGAAACACTACATCCATGGAGGGATGGCCAGCATACAAATGGCACTTTGGTTAAGAGTTAAGGTATTATCGTGGTTTTGATTAAATGTAAATAAAATAATAATAATAATAAAAATAGGACATCTATTGCACATCTGTCCGTCCTGGAAGAGGAATCCCTCCTCAGTTGCTCTTCCTGACCTTTCTGCTATTTACTTCCCCATTAAAGGGTTTTTTGGGGAGTTTTTCCTGATCAGCTGTGAGGGTCCTAAGGACAGAGAGATGTCGTATGCTGTAAAGCCCTGTGAGGCAAATTGTGATTTGTGATATTGGGCTTTATAAATAAAATTGATTGATTGATTGAAAAAAACAATGCTCTAGTCACTCCAAGTTGAAATTGTAAAGCAATTTTACCTATTTTGGTGGAAAATAACTGAAACATTTCCTCATGTTAAAGGGCCAGTGTGTAAAATGGGTTGAAAACAGTGACATCAGTGGTCAAATTCTAGATTGCAGGGCTCACTTGCTCACCCCTCCCGTCGGGTAAATGACGGCGGCCTCGTAGGGACAAAAAGCCTTGCGCAAGAGTTCTTCAGGAGTAGGTCTATCTAGCGATGAGGTGAATATTTATTTAGAAATCTAAGCCATGTTACGATATTGTAATGAATCACTCACGAGCAGGAGACCAGAGGAGCGTTCGGGAAAAAGGCCCGTTTATTTGAGCACTCCAGAAACTCCGGTAACACTCCACTCGGTCCCAAACTCTGACTCTTCTAGCGTAACAGACACACTTCATACACACATACTCGTTTACAATACCGAGTGGGGACCCCCCTCCCCTCTCTGCTCCACCAATCTCCAGCCCGCACACTGACTGACAGCGTAGCCTGTAAACAGAGCTCAGCTGTTTATTTAGCCTAGCAATATCTCCGGACTATAGTAGCTGCAATGGACGACTTTGAACGCGATTTTGAAGAGTTTCTTGTAGCGGACACAGACCCAGAGCCATACCTGTTTGAGCCAGAGCATACAGATGAGGAACTTGGATGCTGAGCGGGCGAGAAGAGAGGCTGAATGCACAGAATGGAATTCGGTGCTACCATCGCTGGGGAGATACACTGCCTGGCCAAAAAAAAAGTCACCACCAAAAAAAAAAGGTCATACACTCTAATATTTCGTTGGACCGCCTTTAGCTTTGATTACGGCACGCATTCGCTGTAGCATTGTTTCGATAAGCTTCTGCAATGTCACAAGATTTATTTCCATCCAGTGTTGCATTAATTTTTCACCAAGATCTTGCATTGATGATGGTAGAGTCTGACCGCTGCGCAAAGCCTTCTCCAGCACATCCCAAAGATTCTCAATGGGGTTAAGGTCTGGACTCTGTGGTGGCCAATCCATGTGTGAAAATGATGTCTCATGCTCCCTGAACCAGTCTTTCACAATTTGAGCCCGATGAATCCTGGCATTGTCATCTTGGAATATGCCCCTGCCATCAGGGAAGAAAAAATCCATTGATGGAATAACCTGGTCATTCAGTATATTCAGGTAGTCAGCTGACCTCATTCTTTGAGCACATACTGTTGCTGAACCTAGACCTGACCAACTGCAGCAACCCCAGATCATAACACTGCCCCCACAGGCTTGTACAGTAGGCACTAGGCATGATGGGTGCATCACTTCATCTGCCTCTCTTCTTACCCTGATGCCACCATCACTCTGGAACAGGGTAAATCTGGACTCATCAGACCACATGACCTTCTTCCATTGCTCCAGAGTCCAATCTTTATGCTCCCTAGCAAATTGAAGCCTTTTTTTCCGGTTAGCTTCACTGATTAGTGGTTTTCTTAAGGCTACACAGCTGTTCAGTCCCAATCCCTTGAGTTCCCTTCGCATTGTGCGTGTGGAAATGCTCTTACTTTCACTATTAAACATAGCCCTGAGTTCTACTGTTGTTCTTCTTCGATTTGATCTCACCAAACGTTTAAGTGATCGCCAATCACGATCATTGAGGATTTTTTTCCGGCCACATTTCTTCCTCGAAGACGATGGGTCCCCACTATCCTTCCAGTTTTTAATAATGCGTTGGACAGTTCTTAACCCAATTTTAGTAGTTTCTGCAATCTCCTTAGATGTTTTCTCTGCTTGATGCATGCCAATGATTTGACCCTTCTCAAACAGACTAACATCTTTTCCACGACCACGGGATGTGTCTTTCGACATGGTTGTTTAGGAAATGAGAAGCAACTCATTGCACCAGTTGGGGTTAAATAACTTGTTGCCAGCTGAAAGATAATCGCCCATGCAGTAATTATCCAATAGGAGGCTCGTACTTATTTGCTTAGTTAAATCCAGGTGGCGACTTTTTTTGTTGGCCAGGCAGTGTATATCATCAGGAGGAAAAGCGCCGCAGAGAGTGCATCACAAGGAGTGAAGTTGCGTCTTCTTTTTCTCGCAGATGACAGTTCGGGTTCATTCTCTCCTGTTGCGTGGTAAGTGTGGTCCATTCGCAAACTTTATAACTAAAAAAACTTTTCACTACTCTCTATCGACGAACTACTAACACTCTCTTCTGTTTCCTCCTCCTTCTTCCTTCCTCCCGCTGTCTTCGTTGGTTTATTTATACACGCGAAACACGTTCTCTGGCTGGCTGGATTGTCCGCTCGGTCTGCCATACATACATGGCGGCGCAAGATGGTGACCTCTCTAAAGCAAGGCCCTTGCTATATATATATATATATATATATATAAAAAAGCATAATTATAAGGCTAAGAAAACCAAACGAATTTTATTTTATAGCGATTATACACTTTTATAAACATATTAATTGGTAGAATATTCAGATTCAGATTCAGATTGACAATAAACCATGCCAAATATTACACACTGGCCCTTTAATAGAAAACATAATTTGCTTGGTATACCTTACCCTCAAAATATATTTAATGTTTCAAATCAGTGGTGATTAATATAATATCTAGTGGACAGGACTGGGAGATGACTGAAGAGATCTCATTATGTGAGTGCTGATTTCAGCCTCATATTTAGATCCTGTCTTTTTGTGTGTCTCTCTGTTTTATTACAGCATCTGCACTTCAGATTGTGCTGCTGGGAAAAAGTGAAGACAAACAGACAAGACTTGGTAACTTCATCACTGGGGAGCAACGTTTTCAGAACCCCAAAATTTTCCCAACCAAGCAAAGTGTGGCCACCGATGGAGAGTGGAGAGGAAAACCATTAACAGTAGTGAAAACTCCAAACATCTTCAGTTTGTCTGTTGAAATGCTGAGAAGAGAGGTGAAGAACTGTTTGACTCTTTGTCCTCCTGGACCAAATGTTCTGCTGCTGTTAGTGATTCCTTCTGAGTTCACTGAGGAGTACAGACAAACACTGAAGTTCATCCTGAATCTGTTTGGTCAAGATGCTTTTAAATACTCGATGGTCATCATGACACATGAGGAGAGGAGTGAAATGAGTGTCACTGTTAATGAACTCCTGAGAGACTGTGGAGGAAGATACTACAGTATGTCTGAAGACAACCACAGATCACTGATGGAGAGGATTGAAGAAACTGCTAATAAATACTTCAGAGCAGCTTTAAACCTGGTCCTGTGTGGGAGGAGAGGAGCAGGGAAGACTTCAGCAGCCAAGGCCATTTTAGGTCATACAGAGCTTCATTCAGTCTCCAGCTCATCAGAGTGTGTTAAACATCAGGGAGAGGTGTGTGGACGTTGGGTTTCCCTGGTGGAGCTGCCTGCCTTGTATGGAAAACCTCAGGTGGCAGTGATGGAGGAATCATTCAGGTGTATCTCCCTCTGTGATCCTGAGGGCGTCCATGCCTTCATCCTGGTCCTACTTGTGTGTTCCCTCACTGATGAAGACAAGGGAGAGTTAGAGACCATCAGGAACACATTCAGCTCTTTAGTCAATGACTTCACCTTGATCCTGTTCACTGTGGAGTCAGATCCTACAGCTTCAGCTGTTGTTAACTTTATAAAGGAGAACAGAGACATCCAGGAGCTCTGTCAGAGCTGTGGAGGAAGATATGTTGTTCTCAACATCAAGGACCAGCAGCAGATCCCAGAGCTGTTGGATGCTGTGGAAAAGATGATGGCTGAAGAATCCACATGCTTCACAAAGGACACGTTCACCAAGGCTCAGCTGGATAATGTTTCAAGACTTAAAGCTGAACTGCAGGATCTCAAACAGAAAAGGGAGATGGGAACTGATGACATCAGTCAGAGCAGAGAGTGTCTCAGGATGGTGCTGATTGGGAAGACTGGCAATGGGAAGAGTGCAACTGGAAACACCATTTTGGGCAAAGAACATTTTAAATCTAAAGCCTGGTCAAAGTCTGTCACTAAAGTTTGTGAGAAAGCAACAGGAGAGATTGATGGACGACCTGTCGCTGTGGTCGACACCCCCGGCCTGTTTGACACGACTCTATCAGATGACGATGTTCAACAGGAGCTTGTAAAATGCATCAGCATGTTGTCTCCTGGACCTCACATGTTCTTACTGGTGCTGCAGATCGGCCGCTTTACAAAAGAGGAAAAAGACACTGTGGAACTGATCAAGAAATATTTTGGCAAGAATTCAAGAGATTTCATCATCATCATCTTCACCAGAGGAGATGATCTCAGTCAGTCAGTTGAGAGTTACATTGAAGACTGTGATGACTTTTTGAAAAAGCTGATAAATGACTGTGGAGGAAGATACCAGGTCTTCAATAACAAAGATCAGACAAACCGCACACAAGTCAGAGAGCTGATGAAGAAGTCAAACAGAATGTTGATGGAAAATGGCTGCAACTGCTACACCTCAGAGATGTTCCAAGAGGCAGAAGAAGCCATACAGAAGGAAGTGGAGAGAATCCTGAAGGAGAAAGAAGAAGAGATGAAGAAACAGAAGAAGGAGCTTCAGAGAAAACATGAGGAGGAAATGGAGGCAATGAAGAGAAGAATGGAACAACAGAAAGCAGACACTGAAAAGGAGAGACAACTGAGAGATAAACAACTTAAAGAAATGGAGGAAAATATCAACAAGGAGCGTGAAGAGAGAAAGAAAGAACAGGAAAAGAGAGAAGAAGAGGACAGGAAGAGGAAGGCGCAGGAAGACAGTCAACGACAGGAGTGGGAACAAAAACTTGACCGAGAGATGGAGCAAAGTAAAGAAGAGATGAAAAAGCAAAAAGAGAACTGGGAGAGGGAAAGAGATGAATGGTGGGAGAAACGATTTCAAGAAAATGAACAGAGACGACAAGAGGAGCAAACAAGACTTAAAAGGCTCCAGGAAGAATACAAGCAGGAAAGAGAAAAACATGAAAAGAAAAGAAGAGAAGAAGATCGAATCAGAAGAGAACAAGAGGAGAAGGAGAGAAAAGAATTAGAGGAAAACTACAAGAAAAAAATGGAGGAAATGAAGAAGAAGTATGAAGAGGAGGCCAGAAAACAAGCTGAAGAGTTCAATGAGTTCAGACAGAAATACACAAAGGACTTTACAGCGCTGGTAGAGAAGCACATGGAGGAAATACAGGAACTGAAGAAAAGGCATGAGCGACAGATGCAGGAGACAGAAGAGAGCCATGACAAAGAGTACAGTCTGTTGAAAAACCTCTCAAGTCACAAAGAAAAAGCTCTGAAAGAAGAAACAGAGACACTGAAGAAAAAGCATGAGCAAGAAATATATGAACTAAAACAGAATTACCGAAGCAAATGTATCATCCTCTGAGTGAGGTTTGATTACCACCTGGGCAAAGAGCAAAGTGGGGCAAAGTGGGCAACTGCCTGGAGCCCCGGACTCTCTAAGATCCACTGTACAACAGTTTAATTTGTTTGGTAATCTGCAGCACATAAGAACCCAGAGGTGCCTTCAGGTGGCTTTAACATATACTGAAGCTGCTGTCAGACAGCGATCGAGTGTACCTTTTACCTGGTGTATCAGTAATATCAGTATTTAGTCAATTACTGCCACTACTTCATCGTACCTAAGGCCCCGTCTACAAGTATACAGATACCATTTGGCCTCTTGTCCAAACACAAACAGAATTTTAGGTCACTAAAATTAAGATTTTTTAGAAATGCTTTTTGAGGTGCAGATTTTTCAAAACTCCGCTGTTAATCTGTGTAGATGTGTAAAACTGAGCGTTTAGGAAAGGAGGACACCATCTTCTCAATTTGTACATATCAACTGTTGCTTTGTGTAACTAACATTCAATGGCAGACTACTGATTTGTTTATGTTTTGTCAGCACCGTTTTGTCTAATGACTTCTTTACACTTAAACTTAGTACTGCTCCACCACTTCATGGATGAATGGAGCAGTCTACCCTGCTGGCTTTAGATCCAGCCTGAAGCAGCTGATTGTGGAACGCTGACGATTGTTGTCAATGAGGAGTGGAAGAAATATTATATATATATTATATATAAATATCAAGAGCATCACTCTTAGTTTAAAATGAGTTCCTTGGTACTTAAATTGAAGGGGAATTAAGGGTGATTAGATCTCCAGTTGTTTTGAAATAGGTAACATCAGCCTGTGCACCTTAATATCTTCACAACAACAGCAGAATGCAGAAGATGGCTGACACTGATGAGCGCTTGGTGTCATTTTTGTGTTGTAGTGTGTACGGAGATATTTTGTGAAATCAAGGTTGTGTGGACAGAACAGAGGAGGAGAAAAACTATCCGTTCTTAGAAATCATTGTAAATGTGTAGCCAGGGCCTAAATGTCAACCTTTGTGTTCTTTTTAAAAATATGTCTTAATATACTTAGAGAATAAAGTCAGCCTGTTATTCTGTCACATGAGGGCAGCTTGTCAATGTCAGCAAATTTTTTCTTGAAGTGTCGTGTTTCCTGTTCGATGAGCTACAGCCTGACTACTGCTCTTCACTGCAGTGTGAACGTTCATCGGACATAATAACCTTTTCTCCTATTTGTAAAATTCTTTCACTATCATCATTATTATAGTTATGCAATGTAACACACACACACACACACACACACACTAAAAAAAATGAATTACTGAACTACAAAGCTACAGCATGTGTAACCTACAACCTTCCAGAATAAATACTTTGAAAGGAACGCCTGACTCTCGTCGTCTGACTGACACCTCACAGAAACAAACACAGTCACACAGCTGAGATCAAAGTTCATTCTTGATATTTAAAACAACATCTGACAAACGCACATGATCTTCATCAGCAGATTAAATTTAACCCAGTCATGTAAATTTCACTAAAAGATAAGACAACCACCCACTGACTATACATATTGTGCATTTATCATGATGAAGGTATTATGGAATTATGTATTCTATTCTGACAACAATTTTACCAGTTAAATATTTAGAAACCTACACAGATATATATGCAAGAAAATAATGAAAGACCAAGATTTAAATCAAAACATTGCAGCATTTAAAATCTTTTACTTCAAATGTATGTATTATCAGACATCAGTACCAATGGTACATCACAGATATGTTTGCTGAGGTAAATCTGTTCTGACTGGGATAAACTAGAAGGACTAGTAGGTCCTTACATTTCCGAAAACACTGAAGCTAATTTTCAAGTCGTCATTATTTTTGATAAATTAACAACATATTTGAAATATAAACTGTTCATTTCTCTCTAAAAATACAATTCTCAACACTAAATCTGGTGACAATAACAACAACAGTACAAAAATATTTACTTACATGTGAGTTTGGTTCATGTCCTCCATCACTGCTGCTGATTGAAATGAAATGCATGCTGGGATACTTGTGTACCGTGGGTTAACACAAGTCACCTCCAAAAGCATCCTTGATGAAATGGACGAACAAGACGGGCACGTAATTGGACCGTACTTAGATAAATGCAAATGTTAAATTAAGTCCACCAAAGCAGAAATTCAGAGAGGCCTCAGATCTCTGGGAGAGCCTCTGTTGTCATTAGGATCTGTTGTTTAACAGCATTACAACACTCCAGTTTAAGACAAGACTAAGATAATATAAGACAGTTTAATTTATGGATAATGAAAGAAGAAGGGCACACAGATCTTACCTCTACATGACTACATATACACAAACTAACAAAAATCATATTCACTTTCATTTTTAAATGATTGTTGAAGACCAGTGGAGAAGCTTTAATATGCAGCCCTCCATTCTGTGAGGACCTGTGTTTCCTCAGATGACCCTCCACTTAACATTTAAATGTTATTTTGCCTGAACACAGTTAATATGCACTATAATAAGCCATGAAAAGATATCATGGAATCAATTACAGTGATTAACACATATTCTAGTCAGAAACAGAGGCAGCACAGTTGTTGACTTTCCAAAACAAAAATCTCCGGTTCTGACACTAAAGTTTATCTTCTGAATCAAATCACATCTGATACTTAAAACATCACGGAGACATCAGAACCACTGGTCAATTAACAAAGTGTTTGCTGAGGTAAATCTGCTCTGACTGAGATGACCTAGAAGGAGCAGCAGGTCCTTGCATCTCCAAATACATTAAGCTAAATTTTTAAGTAGACATTATTTGAATTAATCGATGACAGACCTGAAATATAAACGGTTACTTTCCTGCTTAAACTTGAAATTACAAAAACTAAATCTGGTGACAACAGTTGTAGTACAAAAATAATAACTTACATGTGAGTTTGGTTCATGTCCTCCATCACTGCTGCTGGTTGAAATGAAATGCATGCTGGGATACTTGTGTACCACGAGTTCACACAGGTCACCTCCAAAAGCATCCTTGATGAAATGGACGAACAAGACGGGCGAGTATCTGGACCATACTTAGATAAATGCAAATGTTAAATTTAGGACAGTACTTCAGCCGTGACGTTTCACAAGTCCACCAAAGCAGAAATTCAGAGAGGCTTCAGATCTCTGGGAGAGCCTCTGATGTCATTAGGATCTGTTGTTTAGCAGCGTTGTGATTTCCCATCACTCCAGTTTAAGACCAGACAGTTAAAGATAATATATCACAGTTTATTAAATGGATAATTAAGGAAAGAGGACGCACAGATCTTACCTCTACTGGACTCCACATACACAAACTAACACACTAAATGTTAAATGTTATTTGAACTGAACATAGTGAACATGCTCTATAATAAACCAAGATAAAATACTGTGGAATCAGTTATGATGATAAACACATATTACAGTCTAAAGAACACAGAGGCAGCGCTACTTCATCGTCACTTTAAAGCATCAAAATGTTTCTGTCAGGTTGGAGCATCAACTACAGGGTTTAGTTTAGTTGTTTGTAGTTGGCCAGTCATTTCTCTGCTTTCATTAAATCTGTATTAATGTGTAGAATTGTCTCAAACATTTATAGAATATTTAAAAGACAAAAACATGTCAATAAAGTGATGTAAAGTTGATATTAAAAAGGGTGGGACTCAGAGGCAGGTGTCTACTTTGTCTCTGGATCCTGTCAACACCACCTCACCTCCTCCTTCCGTCATCGGTGAGCCCCCCTCCGGACTGAAGGTGAGTCCCACTCCGCCTCCATCTGCAGCTCCATCCGTTTATTTCTCCTCCTTCACCGGACACACAAACCGGGATCTGCTAACAACAGCATCATGTCAGGTCTCTCAGAGTCAGTAACATCCGTAAAATCCGTTACAGCGGGACAGCAGACTGGCTCCGAATGTTAGCAGGTGAAATAAATGACACTATATACCTGGTTACAACTGAATATGGTCTCTCACAGCCACCTCCGTTTGACACCAAGCTCCAAAACATATTGAAGCTAACTGCTGCTCAGCAAGCTAACGTTACACCACTGATTTCTCATCAAGCTACTTAACGTTACTTTAAGTCACTGATATTGTGCTCAACAAATCACTGTACAACAAATGACCACTGATATGGTGACACAATCATTCACAACAATACCCGGAAGTCCCTTGAACAGAAAACAAGTTAGTCCAAAGCTTCACAGACACAAAAATGAACGTATATTGTCGTAGTTTAACGGAGTTTGTAACAGACAGCTGAAACACAAACAGCTTTACAGCAGCACACTGGAAACCACATGTGGGTTCAACAACTCCAGTTTGCAGGGGCTCCACAAGATGGCGCCGCTGCCACAAAAATCAAACCTGATGGAAACAAAGCAGTAGCCTAATGGAAAGCTGCAGTTTTAGGACATTTTAATTTACCGAGTGGAGGCTGCAATTACCTTAAGTTTATTTTAATTTTTTTTGCTGTAGGCTATCCAAATACTACTTTTTATTAAATAGTTATAATCAGTGTTGAACAGTAACTTGTTATTTAGTAACGCATTACTGTAATTTGATTATCAAAAATAGGAGAAATTAATTAGTAGGCTAATAGTAAGCCTAATTAGATTATAGTTACAAGCCCAGGTTCATTACCATTGCTGGTAACGCAGTGTTGGCCCGCCCCGCCTGACCTCCGCGGTCCTCTCTGCTCCTCTCACCCACACTTAAACACCCGGCCTGGGCTAAACAGTGTAGGGACCTCCGCTGTCCTGCTAGAGTTTGTTCTGTGTTGTTTATTATTATTTATTTTTTGAGGGAATGGTGTAACTAGTAATGTAACTGATTACTTGTGAAATAAAGTAAACAGAACTGTGATTACTTTTAAAAGGAGTAAAAAGTAATTTAATTACTCTTAACTAGTAACTTGCCCAACACTGGTTATAATTTAGTATAATGGTATAATAATAATTAAGTACACCCAGAAATAATAACAATTGCATGTACAATTCAGATTTCCATCAAAAGTGCCCTAAAAGATTAACAGACCTCTGTTACTGTATGATTGACAAATAAAGCTGAGTTGACTCCTCACCAGATATTAAAGATTACAAACACATAAAACACAAGGATTACTGTGGGGACAGATTAAAAATATTAAACTGAACATGTATAAATATATAAAAATGTACAAAAACAATCAATAAGAAATAAAAAGTCAGAGGGACAAGTAGTATTTTTTTCTTCCCATTTTTAATGGAAATTCCATTCAACGATCTTCCTTCTCTTTGCAAGCTTCTGTATGAAGTCTTCCACTTCACTAAATTGGTAACAGAGAACACAATGATTGCCAAGTTGATATTTTACTTCAGATTGCATTTGAAAATGTAATTATCCACACTTTCCTTTGATCATAAACTGGACCAGAGGGATATTATACTTACCGGTAACTCCTCAAAAAAGGTTTGGAAACGTTATTTCAGTCAACTATTTCTCCCCTTTAATTATACTAATTGGTGTTGTATTTTATATTGTTGGAAACAACTTGTAAGGATCATGCATTAGTGGAATGAGCAACACAGCTAAACATGTGGGTAACAAAACAATGTGCCAAAATCCCCTGCAACATTCTCCTGTTAGTATTCACTCTTGTTCTGAGCTTCAAGTGCTGCTTGAAGCTTTGCAGCATCTGGTACGATGGTGTAACTTCCTTATGCCATTGTACCAGATGCTGCAAAAATAAGGCCAGAAGAATCAGTAAAGATCTCAGCCACCCTGATAGCTGCTGTTTCACCCTGCTGAGGTCACAGCAGGCAGCACAGAGAGGATCAGGAGGAGCTTCCACTGAAGACTGATATTTGGGCTTTATAAATAAAATTGAAATTGAAATTGAATATTCTACTAAATGACATCAATATAAAAGATAACAAATGCAATAACAGACTGTTTAGACATATAATACACTGCCCTACAACTTCTCGTAGTAATAATTATTGGAATAATCAATTTGTTAACATTAATTGGAAATTGGTGTGGACTCACTATAAAAATATCTGATTAATAATAAAATCAGTGAAGTTCATTTTAAAATGATACATTTAATTTATCCAACAAACCACTTTATTAAAAAGTACAGACCTGATCTTTCTGATTCCTGTGTATTCTGTGACACTGACACAGAAACAATTGTACATTTATTTTATGAATGTATTTATGTTAAATTCTTTTGGATAGATGTTGAATATGTGTTTGAATCTTTATGTGGGATTAAGATTAATCTGCAAAAAAGGGATGTTTTATTTTGAGAAAAAGAATATGGACAGAAGTCATGTTTTTTTTTTTTTTTTTACTAA